GGGGGGGGTGAAGGAAGGAAGCAAGGTGGCCAAGGAAGAAAAGGAGGGAGTGGAGGAAGGAAGGGAAGGAAGGAAGGGAGAAGGTAAAGGAGAGGAAGACAAATGGAAGGAAGGGTAAAAAACTTATTTTGATCTGTGCTGTGTGTAATCGCCTGTTATGTTTTATTTTAAACATCTGCTATCCCCGCCATACTAGCTGAAATTTAAAAGCAGGCTTATCTAGGGGGGCAGCACTGGCTGCTGAAATGTGAGATGAGTCAGAAGGCTCCTCCTGCAGATAATAACAGTAAGTCATGAAGTAGAACTGACTGCTCTTAGCTCCGGAGTTGCCCAGACGAGGCTGGTGTGTGAGAAGGAACAATCTGCTGGCTGTGTATTAGGGGTGGGCTCAGGTAAATGGTGATGGGTGGACAGGTGTAGCCTCACCTTGCAGGTACATTTCCTCTCCTTCGGTGAACATCTGGTGGCATCTGCTGCATCGCGCACAGCTCGGGTGATAGTGCTTGTCTCCAGCCTGCGGACACAAATACAGAGACGGGGCTCAGTGCATGTCATACCGGAACCCCAACCAGAACACAGCCAGAGGATTCCGGACTTCATCGTCTGGACTTTGTAAAGCTGAATTTCAGAGACATAATATTCCCGGACAAAGCAGAGGAAACAAGTGACAGTGACATCTGGTAACAAAGGGGTTAAAGGTTCAGTCCATCCGAAACCCGTCACGTCTCTTATAGATGAATGCGGGAACACTGAAATCTCCCAATGGGGTCCTATAGTAGAGTTCAGCCAAAATGTTCTATTCCTCAGTTTCGGGAGAGTAGGGAGGAGTGGGGACCCCAATTAGGTTTTCTTTTGCTGTCTGTCTGCCGTTGGAAGGATTTTCCCTTCACTTCCTGTTCCAAAAAGACAACAGGAAGTGAGAGGAAATCTCTCTAAAGAAGGGGAACTTCCCTCTTCGATAGAACAGGTGTCCCCATTGGAAGGTTTCCCCTCTGTAACTGTTCTGGTGACAACTTTAAAATGTTGGATCCCCCAGAAGTCGCACTCCTCCCAATGTATAACCGGGGCGTTGTGGTGAGTGGGCGGAGCTGGGAACTCAGAAGCAGATTTCCCACTGCCGGGTTCTCCAAGAACTGCCGGGTTCTTACATTTTGGATGGACTGAACGGTATAAAGTCTCCAACATTAAACTGACGTTTCCCCTTTAACATAGACTCTGTGTAGGTGGTGGGGCCCCATAGCACAAACATTAATGGGGCCCCCTGTTTGTCTCATCTGCAAAGGCAATTTCCAAGTGATAAATGACTTCCTGAACTGAAAGTAATTGTATAGACGTCCCCACACCGTGTACATTGATTGTATTTATATGTATGTGGAATGTACTAGAAGCAGAAATCAGTGTAACTGGCCGGCTCGGGGCCCCATAGCGGTCACATGGTGTGCAATCTGACATCAGAGACAGCTTAAGGTGGCATCAAAGCTCAGCCCACCTCTCGCAGTCCTTCCTGTGTATGGGGAGCCTCAGATACGGGGCAGCAGAGGCCGGGAACAGGCAGAACATATTAGAAGGTGACAACAGATGTGATTTTAGTAAATATGAACCGTCTGGCATGTTTCATGTTCAGGATCTGATGACGGGAGGGCGGAGGGGGGCTCTGAAATCTCACTTTGTTATTGCAGACCGCACCTTCCATGTGAGGAACGAGCCGACTACCCTGAGAACACATTGACATCCATGGTGACGGATACAGTGCAGGTCACCGCGGGTGATGATCCAAGATGGAGGAGAACTCTAGAACTTTACATTCAGTGTATTGAGGGACCGTGACACCGGATCTATACACAGCCCTATGAAGGGGCCATTTTCATTGAGTTTTGTCCTTGATCACATGACATCACACTGTCAGCATTCACTGTATTGGCTTTGGGTGATCACATGACATCACACTGTCAGCTTTCACTGTATTGGCTCTGGGTGATCACATGACATCACACTGCCAGCTTTCACAATATTGGCACTGGGTGATCACATCACACTGTAAGCTTTCACTGTATTGGCTCTGGGTGATCACATGACATCACACTGCCAGCTTTCACTATATTGGCTTTGGGTGATCACATGACATCATACTATCAGCTTTCATTATATTGGCTCTGAGTGATCACATGACATCACACTGCCAGCTTTCACTATATTGGCTCTGGGTGATCACATGACATCACACTATCAGCTTTCACTATATTGGCTTTGGGTGATCACATAACATCATACTATCAGCTTTCATTTTATTGGCTCTGGGTGATCACATGACATCACACTGCCAGCTTTCACTATATTGGCTCTGGGTGATCACATGACATCACACTGTCAGCTTTCACTGTATTGGCTCTGGATGGTCACATGACATCACCACACTGCCAGCTTTCACTATATTGGCTCTGGGTGATCACATGACATTAGGGCTGCAACAACTAATCGACATACCGTATTTTTCGCTCCATAAGACGCACTTTTTTCCCCCCAAAAGGAGGGGGAAATGTGCCTGCGTCTTATGGAGCGAATCCCAGCGCCGGGCGAGTAGTAGGAGCCACTGCTCGTTTAATACAAGTGATCTAACGAGATCACTCGTATTAAAACCGAGCAGCGGCGATGATCGAGATAACCATAGAGCAGACGAAGAATAGACGTTCTTCGCCTGCTCTGTGTCATCACTGAGACCGTGGCTCTGTAATCACAGCGCCACCTGTCTCAGCGGTCACTAACTGCAGCTTCTGTCACAGCTTCTGTCATAGAAGCTGTGACAGAAGCTACAGTCTCGAGTGCTCCATAAGGCGCGCCGGACCTCCCTGCGTCCTATGGTCCGGTGCGTCTTATGGACCGCAAAATAGGTAATCGATTATAATCGATTATTGAAAAAGTTGTCAACTTTTTCAATAATCGATTAATCGGCTTCCGATCAGTTGGCCCTGTTCACGGCTCCACAC